ATTGAAATTGGAGATAATCGGTCAAAATTTAGATATAGCTCCCATATATATCTTCGTCCGATTTGCCTTTTATTGTCCACCAAACGTGTAATATCAGCCCGAATTGTATGGAATTTTGCATATACATCCAAATTAGACCTAGAAATATGTATGCCAAATTTGATAGAAATCGGTTCAGATATAGCTATAGCTCCCATATATATTGTTCATCCGATTTGTTATTTTTGTCCACCGCCGCCGTAATATGCACTATGCAACAACAATATTTGGGGAAATATATCAAATACAGCTCAGAAATACATTTGCTAAATTTTATCGAGATCGGTTCAGATTTGGATATAGCTCCCACATATAACTTCGTCCGATTTACCTTTTATTGTGCACCAAACATCTAATATTTGTCCAAATGGGATGGAATTTGGCACTTGCGACCGAATTGAGTCTAGAAGCTAGTGTGTCAAATTTGGTGAAGATCGGTTCAGATATAGCTATAGCTTCCATATATATTATTCATCCGATTTGTTATATTTGTTACCCACAACCGTAATATGCACTCCGTAACAACGATATTCAGGGAAATATATCAAATACAGCTCAGAAATATCTTTGCCAAATTTTATCGAGATCGGTTCAGATTTGGATATAGCTCCCATATATATCTTTATCTGATTTCAAATTAATTGTGCACCAAATGGGCAATACAATTCCGAATTTAAAAGATACAAATGCTTCGGCATATTTAGTCCTTTGAAGTTTAAATTATAATTATAATCATAGCGTGTATGATTGAATTCTCCCATTAAAACTTTTAATTGTTATGGTGAGCTCTACTTAATTAGCAAAGTGGTGTAGGGTATCATAAAGTCGGCCCCGCCCGACTTTAAGACTTTCTTTACTGGTTCTATCTCTATCCTACCACTAACAACTATATTTTTCCTAGGATGGACACAAATGCACGTGCATTTTTTTAGCATTACTCTTATACTTTGGATTTTTCTTCGAATTATTTTTGGTGTCTCACAGTGTTATTGTTTATCAGTCATTTTAACTATTCATCCATGCTTTTTCTTATTTCTTCTTCCTAGCCTCGCCATGATGCCAAGCTGTATGTACTCACACAGAGTTTCAGAGCTTTTAATGTTGTCATTTAAAATAATCATGTGACGAATCGAATCCGGATATCCAGAATGAATAACTTGTAAGTCTACCAAGAGGTCACCGTGCCACTTAAAAAAGGTCGACTAATGGCTTTTAACATAATAAAAATCTATGTGTGCGTGCGTTCATGTAAAAAATTTAACATCCGTACCCTGCAAAAATTTAGATCGGAGTTTCTAACTAATATTACACCACTTTGTCTCTTCCTATTTGCGAAACGTCGATAATTGGTCGATTTGCAAAAACAATTATTTTGGCCAACTACAGTCAACTAATTTTCATCTCCAATAGTATTTTCTTTGGCACTTCCCGTAGACCTTTTTTTGCCATAGGCTGTAATTCCCGTAGACCTTTTTTTGCCATAGGCTGTAATACCGATTCCGAATTTAAAATACGAACTTTGAAACATTTCCGGTTAATTATGTTGCTAATATCAAAATGCCGAATATAGGAAGATATCGTTATATGGGGGCTATACGAATACGAAGACCTGCATAGACAATTTTTGTCATAGGCTGTAGTACTCATTACGAACTTCAAATACGAAATTTGAAACAATTCCGGTTTATAATGTCACTAAAATCATTAAAATATCGAATATCGGATCTTTATTATCGTTCTCCTTCTCTCTGGTTTTATAAAAGGCAAGTATTTTTCACAAATGTTTGTTTCTTTACTATATTTTCTGAATTCCTTATTTGTATTTTGTCAATCTATGTTTTGCTCAGGGATCGCGTACTCACCATGATCCGCACCATGGTGGAAAATTAGTAGGAAACTCTGTTTACTCTATAAAGCACAATGTCACTTTGAAGCAGTACTATTAGTGAGCAACTTTTTATTGTCGTTCATTTTTAAGAAATATTAAAAAATCAGTGTTTTATATAAATGATAAAGTCATTTCCTATAAGCATATCCATCTCTGCATTTTGTGTAATTTACTCTGCCAAATTTCCCTGCCTAGAAAGCAGGTTCCCATCTCTGATTTGTATGTACAATGGATTTATAAATATACATTTTCACAATGAGATGTTGTCAAATGCATAACTTTGAAAAAAAGTAAAAAAGCTGTAAGTTCGGCCGGACCGAACTTTGAATACCCTCCACCATTTGGTAAAAATTTGGCAATTTGGCTATTAAAAATTCTGTTAAAATCTTAAAAATACCGAATGTAGCCCTATATTAGGGTCTATACGAAGAGGTGGACCTGCACAGACAATTTTCTGTCAAAGGCTGTAGTATTACGAACTTTAAATTCTAAATTTGAAATAGTTCCCGTACATAATGTCGCTAAAATCATCAAAATACTGCATATCGGGAGGTACCGTTATATGGGCTATACGAAGACGTGCTAGGTGCACGGCCCATTTTCAATACCAAAAGTTCTGCAGACATAATACACATTGAAGTAAATTTTCCACAGACGGATAGACGGACGGACTCTTTTAAATCGACATAGAATTTTATGCTGATCAAGAATATATATACTTTGTGGATGCTAAAATGTATATTTCGAGGTGTTATAAACGGAATCACAAACTTAATATATCCTCCATACTATGATGGAGGGTATAAAAATGTAAACATATAAATGCATGACTTTAACTTCTTATTTCTACCATAGTTGAAACCTTAAATTTTCCTTTGTCCTTGTTAACATTAATTTATTTTTTTAAAAAAATGAATTTATTTTATTTTCCTAAAAATTACAATGATACAATAGAAGCACCCGCAGCTGCCAGCCGCCAAACCAAGACATGACTTAAAATAAAACCCCGAACCTAGTGGGGCATTAATCGCTAAAGTCAACTATATTTAGTCATATAACGAAAACGTTACTTTATTTTTTTGACTTGGTTCGCTTTAGCTGTGAAACCTTGAAATTTTATTCAGAGTAATAATGAACCAAAATAGATTTTTTTGTTTTTAAATATTTTTTAGTAATATATTTAAATTATATTTATTTTGAATTAATATCATTAGTTAATTTTGAATTTAGACTTTCACATTTTCTTTTGGTAGACTAAAATATTCCTTCCAGAAATTAATGGCAATGCATTTACTTTACCTCTAAATATCTTCGAATTATGTTTTTTATGACTTAGTTCGGTATAGCTGTGAGCCCTTCATATACAGCTACTTCTCATTTAAAAACGACATTTTTTAGATGTTATTATATCAATATTTGTACCACAATCTACGATATCCTCCAATACTACTCATTCTATATATTCTACTTATATACATTCTACACATATAGCTGTGAGCCCTTCATATACAGCTACTTCTCATTTAAAAACGACATTTTTTAGATGTTATTATATCAATATTTGTACCACAATCTACGATATCCTCCAATACTACTCATTCTATATATTCTACTTATATACATTCTACACATAGAATAATCCAATCATGAGTAATCATTTTGGTTTAGACATTAGTTAGATGCAGAGCAAACTGGATTGATAGAAAAATCATATCATGATTGCTCACTGTACTTCATTTGAACGATGAACCCATATTGATGAACAAAACAAAGGTGATTCAACTGATTGTGCGATTCGATTAGATGCAAAAACGATCTTTTCTTGCAAATCAAACCAAACGACTTCATCAATTAATATCATGTGAGAGATCGAGTAAAATTGAATTATTCTTTTTCCTCTAATGCTTAGCCAAAACCAATCACTTAACTACTGCATTGCTATGGACGCATCCCATATATGTCACTTCTCTTTTGAACTTAGAGTTAAAAGCAGAGTCAGATTAGAGATAAATCAGAACAATTTGCTCGGTACGAGTTGCTACAACAATAACATACTGAGATCTTTCTTCCAGATACGGAGAAACTAAACACACAGAAGAAACCAAAGTTTGTCTAGAATGGTTGGTACTGAAAATGAGGCATATCGGCTAACCTTTTCGCATAGCCCCCATTTAACGGTACCTCCTGATATTCGGTATTTAAATGTCATTAGTCACATTTTCCACGGAACTGTACCAAATGTAGTATTAAGAGTTGGTAATGGGTTGTACATGTAGTGCCAAAACATTACGTGCAAAGATCTACGTTTTACAATAAATTCCCATATAACGGAATTCATCAAAATAACTAAAATCATCAAAATATTGAATATCAGGGGGATTCAGTATTTTTATGATTTTAGTCACATTTTTACGGCAATTGTATTTTATAATGACTTTTACAACCGTTGTAAAAATATTGTCCATATTGGTACACGGTTTCTACATAACATAATTGACGATCCTAACCACACGTCCAGAGTACGTCCTTCTTTCGACGCAGATCTTCAATTTCAACCCTTTTCCTTTTATATAAGTATTAATTGAACCGAAAAATTTTCGCGCTTTCCGCGACTTATTTGCTTACAAAACAAACAAAAAAACGTGCCTTGAACATCGGTACTCAACTAGCACATTGTAGTATTTACTACCAACTACTCTTCGTAACATTTGATCCTCTGCCCACAAAAAAGGTAACAAATTTCGAAACACACACCCATGCTTTGGGAAATACTGTTCCAGAAATGTTGAAACAGATGCCAAAATACTAGTAGGACGCAAATAAGATATAAAATAGGAGGTATATAAATTTTACCCGATTTCAAATAAATTTGAGATATTAAATGATTTGGAACTGTTTCCTGTAACGCTCTTGTAAAAATACGTAGTGCAAGTGCCAACTCATATTATTGATACAGATGATCTATCAGCATCACTGCCATTGCACATTTTGCTGGGTTTATAAGGATTAGCCGACAAGACGAACCTGTGGTAAAAGTTCAAACACGTTGCTGTTTGAATTTCTTGTATGTCACCTAAAACTATTATTCCTTCTGGGTGTTTTTTACTAATGATATTTAGATAATCACGATATTCGACAACTTGTTTCCATGCGGCTTCCAGACTATTCCAATTGCTATAGAGGTCGCAGTTGTAAACTTTAGTACCTGGATGTCGCTAGACAAAATTCAGATTCATTATTAACATTAATGAATGTTTTTTTTTGGCATCTTACGATTTCAATATAACGCTTTAAAGACGCCATTGACTCCGATCCTGATAGTACTCCATGGAACAAAACAACAGGCATGAAAGCTTCGACCACGCTTACATATAACAGTAACCAAATGCGAATTAATGCCTTCATTTTGCAAAAGTACAATACTTCAATAAGAAATGAGGTAAGTGACAATAAATAAAGAGGTGGTGTCCTCAGCAAATTTTGCAACTAAAAATTAACTTCCAACATTAAATGACAAAAAAAAATCCTAAAATAAGAAGAAGATGGGTAATTTTTCTGGCTAAACTATGTGATAAAATTACGCTTTTCACGAAACGATTTTCTCCAAGGTGCCGCTCAATACATTTCTTAAGATATAAATCCTTTCTTCACCAGTTTACGCTTTCAAAGGTTTGATTTTTATTTTGTTTTGTATTGTACGTTTTTTTAAGAATTTGTTATTTTGCCAAGAACAACAGCACTACCTAGCAGATAGGCCTTAAACTGGAAAGATTTCATAACAAAACAGATAAAGCTTTTGCACGGCTAAAATATGAGTTATTCAAACGTAGAAGTGACGCTATGAGAATGGCGCAAAAACAAAGAATGTGTGAAGATGTGTCTGGTTACCCTAAAATTTGTAACAATTGTTACAAATTGTTACTGGAAGTCATGAACCAATTATAAGGTCTTCCTTCGAGCGAATTAATTTAAAAAATGCTGTTATTTTATCAGATGAAATGTCAAAATTCATGCATGAGGCGAAAATAAATGTTTTCGCCTTGACAGAAAAATTTTGTGGGGAATATGTTTGTTAGAGGTAGATGCACCAACGCTAGGAAACATTGGTATGTAAACATTTTTAAAATGTTTTTTTTTTTTTTTTTTTCAAAAATAAGTACATTTTTATAAGTTGTCTTATACGACACCAATCAGAGATTTTTATGATATGCACTTTTAACAATTTTTACAAATTTAAATAATTTTTCATTTAAAATTTGGTTTGATAGTTCATTGTCCCAGCAGCTATGCGATGCGACTAACTGTATTCTTCTACCATGGTTTTGAAGTTTGTTAATTTAATTGACAGATCGTATGGTAATCTGCTGAGCTGGAAGGGGACCTAATACTTGGATTATGCTGGAAGTCGTCTGTTAACCCGAAAGTTCTTCAAAAGAGAGCGGTTGCAGAGAGACATTTTGGTAGTTCTTGCAGTGAGAGTTTGCAAATTCTTCCCGGACAAATTTCTTTTTGCAATTACTTGTATCTCTTCTTTTCATTCATCGACATTCAACCAAATGTTTTCTATTGTTTGTTTATTTCTTTTTGTGCTTTCAATTTGAAAATATTTTATGGGAATTAGCAAGACTAATTGTTTTAGGAGAACAACTTTACAAAATGTGAAAAACGTAAATAATAATATGTAACTAGAATATAAAAGACTATTTTCAACATTTTTAGACAAACGCCATAGCAACACATTTAAAGGATTCCGGGGAACACATCAAATCTGTCTTTCTTTTATTGCTCATATTTTTATTTTATTGCTTATTTCCTTTTTATTTATAAAACTTGTAAAATTGGTGGTGCTTTCTTTTTTTAATTCTTTTAATGGGGGACAAATTGGTTTGTTTTGACAAATTTGTTTGTTTTGGCAAATCAGTTGATTAGTTGCAAACTTCTGGAAGAATACCGTTTGTTTACTTTTCGCATGTCCCTTGCAAAAGGGAATAAAACTAGAAATAAAAAAGAAAGATGTTGCTCGACAATTCATGCAGGAAAAGTAGGTTAGGTTAAGGATGTGTGGTTGTGTAAAAACAACCACTCCACTCGGAGACCTATTGGCCCATTGTGATCATCCTAATTTAGAAGAAATGAATGTGAAAGAAAAGTTAGGAGGTTAGAGTAGAATAGATAGGATATAAAAGAGTTAGTGGGTTTGCATCCACGGTGTAGTCAGCGTGTCGTCCTTAGCCATTTTAGTCTTCTGGCTAACTGAAGAATAACTACCGGCTCGGTTTCGGAGAGGCATGACAAATCGGGCAGAATTTGCTTACCTAGAAGCCTATGTCTTACTCCGATCAGGGTAGGACAGTGACAGAGTAAGTGTTCCACCGTTTCTGTTTCTTCCTCATCTTGGCAAAGCCTGCAGTATTTCAGTGTCGTCACCCCCCCATTTTGAAGTCATGGCCTTTATGTTGCAATGACCAGTAATTAGACCCACCACAAGCTTCAGGTCCAGCTTCGTCATGGATGTGAGTGACCGTGATCTCTTTTCTGAGTTCACTGGCCAAATCTTTTTGGAGATGTTACATCCCCTTGCAGATAGCCAGTTTTGTTGGAATCTCCCAAGATAGTGACTATGAAGTACTTGAAAGAAGTGGCATAAAGGTGGCTTCACTGAGGTCTCAATCTCTAGATCTACTGACTCAGATCCGCGTCTGGCCAATTCGTCGGCAGATTCATTGCCAGAAATGTTGCAGTGTCCAGGAACCCAACAGAGCTTGACAAACGACTTTACTTTTTCCAGCGCAATCTTGCACTCCAGAACAGCCCTAGATTTGATTAGAAAAGAATTTAGAGCTTTTAGGGCCGCTTGACTATCGACATATATAGTCACCGGTGCGTCGTGTTCATTGATTCTGTTTTCCAACAGCTCTATGGCCATTTTAACAGCAAAAATCTCTGTCTGAAAAACACTACAATCGCTGTTTAGTCTGAAAGATCGTTGGATACTTAAACTTTCACAGTAGACTCCAGCCCCCGTTCCACTTTCCATCTTTGGACCATCAGTATAGACAGCTATACCGTTAAAAGGTGGAGTGCCATGGGACCAAATATCCCTGTTTGGTATGCGGATGTCGAGTAATTCAAAGCTGTGCCTAGGGAGTATATAGTCACTAGCTATAGCCTGATTACTTACGTTCTCCACATACTTAAGAATGACAGAGTGACCGATGGACTGACTCCGCCATTGTCCCAGTTGATTGATTCGCAGGGCACACCTAGCAGCTAGTTCCTCTACAAATAAGCCTAGCGGCTTTAAATTAAGTAGGGTATCTAGAGCGGATTGTGGCGTACTCCTGACCGCACCTGTAATTAGTAGCGATGCAACTCTTTGAACTTTATCAATATTCTTGCACAGGGTGGTTTTCCTTAAGGAATGCCACCAGACAAGTCCCCCATATGTTAGGATTGGTCGGACGATTGACTCATATATCCATCGGATAATATGGGGTTTAAGCCCCCAACTCTTTCCTATGGAGTTTTTGCAGGAGTAAAGTGCATTTAAGCCCTTCTTCGATCGCTCCTCGATATTCCTCTTCCAGCTTAGTTTCTGGTTTAGGATAGTACCGAGATATTTTGCTTCCGAAGAGAGGCGTAGAATTACACCGTCCAGCATTGGTAGAGAGAAGACAGGTAATTTCCGCCTCCTTGTAAAGAGTACGAGCTCAGTTTTGGATGGGTTCACGCCTAAACCATTGCAGCGCGCCCATCTGGATAGTTTAACTAGAGCTCCCTGCATGATATCCGAAACAGTTTGCAGAAACTTCCCAGCAATCAGCAGGACTACATCGTCGGCGTAAGCCACGACCTTTGTTCCGCTGTGTTCCAGATCGAGTAAAATGCTGTTTATCACCAAAAGCCAAAGCAGTGGTGACAAAACGCCTCCTTGTGGAGTACCCCTAGTGACCGTTTTCCTAACAGAACACGCAAACAAGCCTTAAAAATCACTTCCAGGAATGGTATTATCACTGTCGATGCATGCTGTAGCATAGCGGGGAAAATGCCATTTGGACCCGGTGACTTGAAAGGTTTGAATGAGTTTATGGCCCACAAGATCTTGGGGGCGTTTACAATTCTATCAGCCAGACTTACGTCTTCCGTCCCACGATGCTGACTAGGCCGACCTACCAATCGGTCATATACCGCATCAGAGCAGTTCTCTAGACCTGAGTCAGTCCAGCTACCGTCAGCCCGCTTTATGCTTCCAATGGATTTTGGATCCTTTGAAAGTACTCTACGGTATCTGGAGGCCGCGTTGACATCATCTATGGACTCGGTAAAACACACCCAAGACCGTCTTTTGGCCTTCTTGATCTCACTGTTGTACTTATTGAAGGCTGATTTATAAGCTTCCAAGTCCGTACTCAGTTTGGTCTTGTTGGCCCTGTTGTAGAAACGTCTGCTTGTCTTCCTGAGCTGGGCTAGGTCTTTTGACCACCATACAGGCTGGCGCCTTTTTCTCGGGAAGGTTAGTGGACAAGCTCTTTCGTAGCTACCGATCAAGATCTTTGTTAACAACTTGACAGAGTCGTCCACATCCGATGCAGAAGCCACTGGAAGATCTTCAGTGGACCTTAGCATCCATGCAGTGTTCTCTGCAAATTGGTTCCATCGAGCCTTTCTCGGGTTCCTATGCGGTTTTTGATGCAATCCCTCTACCGAGATTTGGAATGTTATTTTCCGGTGATCCGAGAAGGAGCACTCAGTCGAAACTTTCCAGTTCAGTATGAGCGATTCATCCATGTTAGTGAGATCTATGACCTCCTCTCTATTTTTGTTACAAAAAGTCGCCTCCTTTCCCCGGTTACAAATTTTGAGATTATGTGTTAAAATAAAATCAAAAATGGACTCACCTCTGGCATTAGTGTTGCTGCTGCCCCATTGAGAGTGGTGAGCGTTGGCATCACATCCAACGATGAGACCGCCTTTTCCACCCAATTTTGTGACCAGCTCCTCTACCACTTGGCCTGGCGGGTCGGGTAGGTACAGGGAAACGAGGAAGAGGATTTTGCCCGTTCGAGTCTCCAGTCTGACCGCCGTGGCGTCTCCTCCGCTGAAATTATTGAGGAAGATTAAGTTTAAGTTTTTCCTAGCAACGATACACGTTCTAACCTTTTTCCCCGTTGGAGGTGGCATAGGTAATGTACCGCTCACTCCCTAGTCCAGTTACCTTTTTCTTAAAGATGTAAGCTTGGAGAGGGATAGGAGAAGCTCAGCCCCTGCTGCCTTACAGTGATGCAGATTTATCTGCACGATGTTAAGCAGCTGTGGCTTCGTTCTTCCTATTGCGACAGCGGCGTTAGGCGGAACCGAATCCATCCTGTGCCGAAGTGCAATTTCCCCCTACGCGCCTGAAGGTGTTCCTGGCCAGCAGTATCAACAGATACCTTTATGACCAGGCCTCCTCCCTCCGTACTTGAGCCAACTAAGCGCCAGCTGTCCGTAAAGAGATTGGGATTTTGTTTCCCCAATATTGTCAGCACGCGTGACGGGTCCACAGAGGGCGGCGGCACCCATGCTGTCAATATCCTCCGGCAGGGGCTTTCCTTCAGGGATACAGCAGCAAGTGCACTTCCATTCCAAAGTCCTTGAAGGCCAGCTACTGCGGTCACAAGGAAGTTCTTCGACTCCTCATTTTCGCAGCAGATGACCTTCACTCCCTTGTAGACGGTAGCACTGCCAAATTGTAGCC